ATAGACGTCCAGTATCCAATCCTGGCTGCAGACCCTGACATAGGAGCTGTCATGTGAGGGCAGTTTTTCAAGAGATAAAGAGAGTTTACTGTCATGTGCGCAGCAAACAGTCGGTTAGGCTGTACTATGAAAATCTCTCTCTGCTTGTCCTTCCGGCTCCCGATAAACACAAATTAAACACAAACCACAAGTACAAAATTGTGTCACTTGGTGTGACTGTCTGGTAGACAGACGCCTGCTGTAGTCGTCATGCGGACAGTTCTACAGCACCTGACCTTGGTACTGGGATTTGTCAGAGACTGGGAATGGAGATCTCGTGGTTTGCCATGTCGGACATGGGTGGACTGGGTTTGACTGAAGTAGGGCTGCTGTGTCTGTCCATGGCTCAGGCTACCCAGCTTGCACTGTTTAATGTGTACAACTGTGGAAAAAATTAAGAGGCCACAGCACAATTTTTTGTTTTACTCATTTGTCAGTTTATGGGTATTTGTCTATGAATAATGTATATTTTTTGCAGCCTGGCTCTTCCCGGTTTCTCATTAATGAAGGACTTCTTCTTTGCTTTATGGGACTTCCCACTTTTTTTGAAGGTCATTTGACGTCATCCTACGATTCATGGGGGATTGTCAGATAAGTTCGGTCATTTCTGGCATTAGAATGCTGCTTCTGCCCTTTACCTGGCTGTTTTTTGGTTATTGCCAGTGTCTCCTGCTTCACCTTATTTTTATGGTCTGTTGCATTGGAAGTATTGAAATTGCTGCTCAGTGTAGCTGACTGCCAGCAGAACCACGGTAAAACTAGGATTTAAAAAAGAAAATTTATTTTAAAATAAAGAGTGGTCTCAATTCTTTTCACAGCTGTACATGGGCACGCGCTTCAGCTATCATGGCGCCCCCTGCTGTTCCTCATGAGCTGTTCCCTCTCTCTCCACGATTCCTAAATGCCCAGGCACCCAACGAACCCAGACCACAGAGTCTTCCAGCAACACAGGAACGAAGAGGGACACAAAAGAGGAGTTGGCTAGCCGCACGGAGGACAGGGTCCCACCCCCGCTTCACCCCCCGTCATGCTTCAGCTCCTCGGCAGCCTGTTTTTCGGAGGATCGCAGGAGGCGCCGTCTGATGCCAAGCACCTGAAGGCCCGAGTGCTGGAGGCTGACGAGGAAGGCTGGGTCCTGCTGGGCCTGCCTGGTGAGTCTCCCTAAGAGCACACGGTGAGATGAGCAACTTTATCCCCCTCATCCACTCATCTCTTCCTGCAGATGGCGCTACAGTGGACAGCAGCCCAGTGGAGGAGCTCCTCATCCAGTGTCCAGATGCGTCTTCGCCCAGTTCTGCCCTGGAGGACAGTGTGGCCAGTCTGGTCAGCAGCGTGAGGTGGGTGAGGAACGCCCCACGCGTAACCAGCCCCCACACACCACAGCACGTTGGTGTGTCTTATATTCCCAGCAGACACTCGTGTGCGTAATTGCACGCACACAAAGATGAGGAGGTGGTGAGGGGCTCAGGGGCTGTGATCGGAAGGTTGCTGGTTCAAGCTTCAACAAAACATGTTGTGGACCATTGAGTAAGGCCCTTAAGCCCCCCCTCAGCTGCAGGAATAGCTCACAGTAGCTCACCCTGCACTGTGACCCCCAAGCAAGCCCTCAATTCTACGTATATCTCACAGAGAGCAAGATGAGTTAGACAGAAAAACAATTTCCCCACAGGGATTAATAAAGTGTTGCTATGCATAGTTTACGTTAGTGTTGGTCTTGTACCAATAATCATTTTAGCCAAGGATACACAAACTGCAGATCCACTATATTATTCACCACAAGCAGATTTTACTGCCCTTACTGCCGTGTTAATGGGGCTTCAGTAATGATAACTAGCTGCCCTCTATGCTCAGCCAGCCTCTGCATTTGTTGGTATATGTTCTCTGTAGGTTTTGATCTCAGAATGTACTGCAGAAGGTTAAGATGGGGGTTAATTAGCAGCCCGGGATTCTTCGCATGCCTCTGATATTTCAGGTGTTCTTGCTGTTGTGTTAGTGCTTGTGCCCAGTATCTTTTCCCTCTTGCAGGATGCCAGCAACAGCATCTTCTGGTGGCCAGATTGGCACACGGGGCCGGGCAACGCAGGGCGTGGCACCTCGACCAGGCTCCCTGACCAAAGTGACCCTGGCTGGCCAGGTCCAGCGGGCACAGGCACGAGCCAGCTGGGGCAGCCTGGGTCGTAGCCGGCTTCACCGTCATAACTACGTCTGCCAGCGAGGCCGCTGGCACGCCGCCCACACCCGCAGCAGTGCCCTGCAGCAGCCCTGCCCACGCAACCTTAGCCACTAAGACGCTACATGCCAGCGGGAGGAGACATGCCGTTCCCATCCACACTGCAACCTGCTCTGCTGTATCCCAGCGAGCCCCATATTTCATACCTCCATCAGTGCTGTAGTCCTGCTGCTTTTATCATCAAAACAAACGATCATCACGGTGATCACATCTTTTGCAGTGTGATTGTTTCCTCTTCTTGTCTCTAAGGTTTTTCAAATCTTTTTTCTTTCGCTCGCCCATCTGAGGGAAATTATTCTCTCAGATGTCATGACCCATCCCTCTCCTCTCTGTTTTGCCTTTTAAATTCAGGGGTGCTTTCCTTAAACTGGCCATGGACATACAGAACTTGCTCATGGTCAAATGGAGAGGTCAGGCTTCCCAACAATTCCAACCAAACTTCACAGCTCTCATGCTGACACTCGTGCCACGTGTACGTGCTCAGGTGTGAATGTCTCGGCAATGCAGAGAATTCCTTTTTGCTGGAAAGCGGCTCTGTATATGCCCTCTGCCTGTGTATAAGGGCTTTTCACTCAACGTCATATGACTCAGCCCTCTGTGCCTTCCCTACCTGATCCTGTGCTGACCTGGGAGCCTGGTACCTTCCATGAAGGTATCTCATACTCACAGGAGTAGATGGACAGGATGGAAGGGAAAGAAGACATGAAATGACAATGGGAGATCGGTTACACTCCTTTTTTAATACTATACAGCAATAACAAAGCAATAAATCCTCAAACACTGCTGGGGCTTAATTGAGCAGGAAATTTATTCCCTACGCTTATCATGATAGGAAAGCTGTAAATTCAGTTATATTCAGCATCACATAAGCATCACACAGTAATGGAACAGCAAACACACACTGCAGTAAAGGGTATAACGCACAGATAATCGGTGCAGAGCCATATTTGAGTGACGTCGTGAACATTTCCAGTTTCTTCCAAAGTGTAGCTGAGCGCCCCCACTTATGCTCAGAAGCTTCTGCCAGCTTGTATGTTGGGTGGCACGCTCTAATGTGAAAGGCTGTCTTCCTTTCACTTCTGCCTGCTTGTATGTTGGGTGGCACGCTCTAATGTGAAAGGCTGTCTTCCTTTCACTTCTGCCTGCTTGTATGTTGGGTGGCACGCTCTAATGTGAAAGGCTGTCTTCCTTTCACTTCTGCCTGCTTGTATGTTGGGTGGCACGCTCTAATGTGAAAGGCTGTCTTCCTTTCACTTCTGCCTGCTTGTATGTTGGGTGGCACGCTCTAATGTGAAAGGCTGTCTTCCTTTCACTTCTGACCATTTTAACTTTGTTTTCTTATGCCTACAAAATACATCCAACCAGGCTGGTTTTCATAACTTCATTTTAAAATATGCAAAATACAAAAAGACGAGGGCAAATAGGGATTCTCATTTTATTCTAGACACCAAACAATTCCTACATTCCTCAGTGGCTGTAATTTGTGGCATTAAATCGTGTCAATTTCTATGTAGCTTGAAAAATGGCAGCAAACTTCACTGCATTTAGCATCGCTTTGAGATTATAACAGCATACTGGGTTCGCCATGACAACCGCAGAGCACCTAGCAAGGGGAGAGCTGGGTTTCAATACTCACTAACCCAGCAGCACTGGCTGCAGTTGTCCTCTTGTTTTTGATTGTGCACCAGTGACTGACTGGGTGATCTGACCTCAATATCACATTCTAATTGACCTTTCATAGATTTTCCATTGTGAGGAAATGTAATGTGACTTGTTTCCAGTGTGCCCAAACAGATCCATTTCCAAAATGAAAAATGTCCTGCATTCATTGTAGTAATAAAAGTGGAGCAAAGATGCTTGAGTGTATTCATGTACATTGAATCTGAAAATTGTATGAAAAATGTATGTAATTTTAGATGTACTGTAATGCATTCTTAAGAGTTAAAGTATTAGCTACTTACTGTGTCATATTAATATTCTGCTTGAGAAAAACATGTCAAAATATAATTTCAAAAATAATAAGAATTCAGTGTAGTTGTTTTATTTCCAACTGCCAATCCCTTTGTTTTTACCCTTTATCATTTTTGTTTCACTGTATTCATAGCCACGTTTTCTTATTAATATTGTCGATGGAACAGTGGCTCAGGGGGTAGCGCTCTTGTCTGCCACCTCCAAGGGCTGGGAATTTAATACTGTGTTTGTTCTGCACGTATGTGGAGTTTGCGTGTCGTATGGGTTTCTTCTGGGTTCTCCAGTTTCCTTCGGCAGTCCAGAGTGTATGTGCAACCTATTGCAGACCGTCCAGGGTACGTCGAATGGAGACGTGAAGGGGTGGGGTCTTCTAGGTACCCAGAGGCCAGTAACTAGATTACCGGAACTGTAATCTTGTATCATTGTGTTAAATAATGGAAAACAAAAATAATAAAAATCATGTTTTAGGAAACTGACTAACCCATGACTAGGTGAATGTCATGTAACGACAAATGCTACATGAAAAATATTCTCCGCGTTATATTAATTTAAATATATTAATTAGAGTTACGATAAAACTGAGCGTAACATACAGTTTTATGAAAAGCAAGTTCAGGGGGAACAGAAAATTTGCAACCTTTTATGCGAACCCTATCTTGAAGGTTCTGCGCGGCTATTGGCTGAGATCTCCTCCAAACAAATCGGCTTTTACTGAATTAAACGAAAACCCGTAACCAATCAAATTCTTCGATGTTTCCGTTCTCACTTCGGTCATACAAAAATAAAGCCGCATTTTTGCGTAAAATACGGAAGATGACTATCGTGGCTTGTAGTTGATTTTAAAAGATTATTGTAAAATTAGGCGCTATTTGTGCTTTTATTTGTAAATCATGCGAATAAACGAAATACTTAGGTAGCCTATAGCACGATATAAGAAAGAGAAGCTCTTCTATCCATTCCCTGTGTTGTGACGGCCGCTCGTTCTGTCTTTCGTTACTGAATAGTGGGATTTGTATCCAGATGGACTGAGTGATCTAATAAAGGTTGGTTTTCAATCAGACTATATATTTTTTGCAATCGATAAAAATGCACAGATGATTAAACGAATCATATGGTTTGAAAAATTGCTTTCTAAACAAACACTTCGAAATGTTGCCATGTTTTTTTTCTTGGCCTGTAATTTTGATATCCAGATAGACAGCAAGTGAATTATTAGTTTGCTATTTCGTTTTCTCTGTGAAACAAGTGCTGCAGACACATAGTTATTTATTCCTACGCAATAAAATAAATGATTGCTGCGAATATCGATATGGTGTATATACAGTAAACCGAACTATTTATTATGAAGTTGTAAACAAAACCAACGACATTTGCAACAGATAAGCAATGTCAAAACCAAACGTCTAAACTGAAGCAGATGTGATTTTAGAAAATAATGTTTTTCGCGGTTTACGATTTCCTTGATTCGTTTAAGGTATTCGTATATGTCCTGCATTCATTGTAGTAAAGTGGAGCAAAGGCTATAACGCACAGATATATCGTGTCTCTAATTTTGCCTTGCCAACCAATGCAAGAGGTAGTTAAAACACCTAATGGGCGCCTGTTGATGAATTGATTTTTTAAATTAATTTATGTGGCGAGTTAATTGACCAAAATGAGCACCATTCTTTCACATGTTACGTATCTATCGAATCATTATAACCTATTGTACCTGTAATATAACGAATATGTTATGGGACGCTATGAACATCCATTCAGCCAATAAAACGCGCTGGGATTATTTTTTGGGGTAATTACTTGAATCAGGTGTGTTATCGGTATAATACATGGAGTTTTGAGAACCTTAAAAATACAAATTTATAAATATATAAATAAGCAGTATTTGAATTGCTGAAATTATAAATACTGAACTTTTTGGGGGCTGTGGGGGTCCTGATGATTATGTAGCCATTTTTGGTCTTAGAAAAGTGTAAAAACAGATGAAATTTCAGGCTGTCTTGCGCAAGTGTGACATAGCGATCCCGCAGTACAGGCTATGATGTGTTACACAGCTGTGTGGCACTGACTCCTAATGCTTCCAGTAGGACCAAAGTGTGTAAAGACGACGGCCACTTGCCTGCGAGACACTGCGATGGCACACAGGCCCAGTCGGCGACACACGCTGGAATTCAGTGGCCACCCAGACGCGGACCTGGACTCGGGAGTTGAGGAGGATGATGGTGACGAGGGTGGTGGTCACCATGAAACCCTACCCAAGGCTTGGAGTCAGAAGGAAGACTCCACCATCTTCATCGCCTTCAAGGGGAACATGGACGATGAGGACTTCCAGGAAAAACTGGATGGCATCCTACACAGCATGCCAGGCCTCCTGCAACTGGGTAAGCATAGCTGGAGGCCAACTCTGTGTTCTGTAAGCGGCTGAAGACGAGGCGTCACTTTCATCCCATGTTACTTTGAGTAGCTGACAGAGTGATTATTGAGTGTTATATCATTCTGTAAGGAAAGGAAAGTATTGTATGCACTGATTGTTGTGTATGATGACTGTATGATGTGTTGTGAAAATTCAAGATTGCTGTTACTATATTTTGTAAAAGTTTTCAATGTTTCCCCCAGGCCTGGAGAGACTGCAGCCTCGACACGTAGAGCCCTGGAACAGCGTCCGTATCACATTCAACATCCCGCGCGACGCCGCTGACCGCCTGCGCCTCCTGGCACAGAACAACCACCAACAGCTACGCGACCTGGGCATCCTGTCTGTGCAGATAGAGGGTAGGGGCTGTGTATGGAAATGGGGGTGGGCATGGAGCTGGGGATGGGTGTCAGCATGGGGGTCATACTGAAAAATTCATTGTTTTGTCACTTGACAATCCCATGAAAAGGCTATGGTAGTTATTATTTACACTGCTCTCTATCAGCTGCTGTTTTAAACAATATAATTAACAAAGATTTTGTCACCCCTTCCACGTAGGGGAGGGCGCTATAAACGTTGCAGTGAACAGAGGTCAGGAGGTGCGGCCCAATGGCCCAGTTGGGGCTGGCGGTCAGATGCGAATGGAGGCTGGTTTTCCCATGCAACAGGGTCCTGGTAAGGGCTTGTATTATTACTCTATCGGTCTCTCTGTCTGTCTTTATTACATCTGAGATGTAATTGAATTATTGGTATTGTTTCATGGTCATGGTTATATATATGGTTTAATTTAAGGATTTTTGTTTTCCTGTTATATTTCATCTGGGAATGAATTATGGAAATTTACCCTGAAGTATATTTTTCTGAGGAAATTGTATGTGTGTGATTATATGCAGTGATTCACCTCCTGTGGACTTTTCCGCGTTTTGTAGTCTTTCAACTTTGAGTCGATTTAACTGGGATTTTTGAATTTTGCACTTTGAAGGTGCCAAACGTGACACAAAGGTTAAACAAAAAGGCAGACATTTGTTAGCCGCATAAGAATTTACCCCCCACACTACCTTTAGCTGCAGTTACAGCTTTTTTTTTTTTTACAGATTTTTTGGGGTTAGTCTTTTTTAGCTTTGAACATCTGGATCCTGCAATTTTTGATCATCGTATTAAAAAAACTATAGACTTGAATGGGGATCATTGGTGAACAATCATTTGGAAGTCTGTGCACAGATGCAGAGTCGGATTGGGATCTGGGCTATGACTGGGCCATTCATACCACTCCAGTGTAGCGCTGGCTGTGTACTTAGGGTCGTGAACCTCTGCCCAAACCTTAGGTCTGTTGAGCTCAAGTCTGTTGAGTTGCCCTGTATTTGACTACATTCAGCTTGTCCTCAGTCCTGACCAGCTGAAAATCATTCCCATCACATGATTCTGCCACCACTATGCTTCATCATATTAATGGTGTTTACAGGATAATGAGCATTTTTGCCTTTTTCCACACATGTCGTTTTTCTCTGAACATTGTCATCTGGAGGGTTTTGGATTTTATATTCCTGCCTGGATAGCTGTTGCAGTCTATACAATTTTCTGTTCTGTCATTCTTGAGGTAGTTCTCCCATTGTGAGTGATGTCACGGTATCTGGTGCTGATTGGGTGAATCGGGTTGTTTGTCGGTCCTGCAGTGATTGACCTACCACAGCTCCCCGTAGACCCCATGTCTTTATGATTGCTTGTCTCTGTTGGACGGGCATTAGCTCGTGGGAGAGGTGCAGTACAGGGTGTACCTGGTCTCCGTGATGCTGGAGAGCTCCTAGATCCCGTTCTGGAGTGTCAGACTACAGATGGATGGTTGGGTTTGGAGCACTGGTTCACTCGCGGGCTGCGAACGAGATTTCCGCCACTTAATCCACTGCATCCTGTCGGGTGTCGCTTTTCAGGTCAGGCCTGAAAGAGTAGCCGTTAGGGAACAACCATGAGGCACAAAGCATTGATGATAGCTTGCCAGCCCCTGAAGGTTTGTGTCTGTTTCTTGGAAGTGCGTTGTGAGTAGTTTCAATGCAGGCTTGATATTATTTTCTCGGGGCCGCAGCAAAGGTGGCAGGTACCCAGTGATGATGAAGGGGGGCATCCAGTACTGCCTGTGTTCTCCATGGGCACTAAAGGCTGTTTTTTTTTTCTTTTGCTTCCTGGTTCATAAGCACTTGTCAGTAGCCTGTACGTTAGGTCCAGGGTTGAGCCTAATTGTGGTTTACCCAGACACTCAGCTAGCTGTCAAACTTAGGCACGTCATTCAGGCAAATTCTGAAGTGCCATCTGGCTTGGGGACCGTGACCATTTGCATGATGCCCAGCTGCAGCCTCTTTTGGATTCCCTCCTTTGCAACATGACAGTCAGGTTCAGGGACTGGCTAGGGATGTTGATGGACCACCACCCTAAGGAGGGCATGCAGGTCAAGCCTCCTTTAGGGCAGGTTTGTGTGGCACATACATCTTGTATATTTATAACATTTTTAACAGTGAAGGGCTGATCATCAAATATGATAAACTGTCATTTTCTGAGTAATATCTTTTGATGAGGGGGGGATGGGGGGGGGGGTTGTTTTCTGAAGAAAATACTAGCGAGACTAAGTGTTATACTTTGTAAACATCTCCAAAAATCTGGTATGACGGAGGGTCTCTGATGTCCTTCCTTGTCGATTGCCGGGGTCAGCCTGTGGTAGATGCACTTTTCCTGTGGAGCAGGTCTCCCACAACAGTGGTGCTGGTCAGGGGAAGTGGCTTTTTCACTGTACCAGTGGCAATCGACCCTCCACGATATATCTATATGTGTATTCACGATGTATTTACCACCACCCCCCCCCCCCCCCCCCCCCCCCCCCCCCCCCCCCCCCCCCCCCCCCCCCCCCCCCCCCCCCCCCCCCCCCCCCCCTACCGCAGGAGGCATACGAATGAACAACCCCGCCATGATGATGGGTGCTTCTGGCCCAGGTATGCCTCCCCAAGGCATGGTACCTGGGGTTAGTGGTCAGATGCAGACCAGACCCCCTCGAGCCCCTTCCCACGCAGGTATGTGGACCCTTTTTCAGGAGAATAATCCTCCGTAACCCCACATAGCCCCATGTCCTTAGCTGCTACACAGTACTCTGTATACTTTGCTTTTTCCCACTCTTCAGATTCCATGGACCCAATGCTGTCAGGTCTCCAGCAGCACCAGCAGCCTCCAGTGCCAACCCAGCAGACGGCCCACGGCCCGGTGACCATGCCTCCCCAGGGCCACCCCATGCAGGCTGCCCGTCAGCTGAACCCCACGGCCCTGCAGCAGCAGCAGCACCACCAGGCCCAGCTGGCAGCTTCCCATGCTCCTTTTCATGCCTCCAGCCAAACTGCTGTCCCCACTGGCTGGAACCAGCTCCCATCAGGCATCCTGCAGGCTCCGCCCACCCAAGGACATGCCTGGCGTAAAGGCCCCATGGGAGGGGTGACGCGCCCGTCCTTGCCGCAGATGCCCAGCCACCCGCCACCACCATACCCCTTTGGGAGCCAGCAAGCCGTCCAGGCCTTTGGCCCACCAGGGCAGCAGCAGGCCCAGCCGCCGGGCCAGTTTGCAGCTCCCCAGCCTAAGCCCCCACCAGGAGGGACCCCGGGCATGGCTGTGCCAAGAGGCCCACCGCCGTCCCCTTTGCCGCCCTCCTCTGCCCCACAGGTCCACCTCGCAGGCCGGTCCCCGGGGTCCTCGCCCTCGCCATTCCAGCACGGCTCCCCTGGAACCCCTCCGACCCCGGGCCAGAACCAGGCCCAGATGGGCCCACGCCCACCCACCCCGCAGGGCGGCTTCCCTCAAGCGGTTGGCTCTCCTGGCAGAGCTGCACTGGGGCAGCAAGGCAAGATGCAGCCTGGTTTTATGGGCATGACTCAGCAGGGTGCCCAGCCCGGCATGGGAGGTAGGGGCCTTCTGCACTTCTCACTGGGCATTAATTTGATGAACACTTTCATTTCTTATTCCGGTGCTAAAATGTATCAGTAAGCTAGTTTGTCTGAACTGTCTGATTAAATAGCTGAAACCTCATTGCCATAAAGACTATAAAATGGTGAAACCCAAAAGCACATGTACACGGTCTCAGCATGAGTAGGACCTCCTGAGTTCTTATCCACGAGTCGTGTAGTGCACCTGTTTCCGTACTTGCCGGCTGTTTAATTGATGCACCAGCGATGGCCTGGCCTACTTCACAGTGATGTGTCATCCCAGGCATGCCGAAACGGATGCCAGGGAGCTTCCCAAATGCGCAAGGTGCTCAGAACTTCATCCAGGGACAGCCGACGGCTGGTGTGACAGGCACGCCTGTGCCCAGCAGCAGCCCGCAGGTGCAAGGGAGCCACAGCATGCCGCACGTGGGTACGTACTGCTCACCTGAGGCACGTCAGCGTGGAAGATCTCCGGAGGGGGCAATGGTCAGTGGTGATTTGATTGTGTTTCTGGACTTTGCCCCCAGGAACACAGATGACTTCGCCAGCTGTGAGCCACATGCAGGCAGGTCCCCAGGGCAATATGATGGCTCTCCAGCCCCCACAGGTCACCCAGGCTCAGGGCATGGGCATGCAACATCAGCCTATCTCCTCCACCTCCTCCTCTGCAGCCTCATCGCTGGGGCAGGTGGTTCAGGGCCAGACTGGAGGATCGGCAGTGACCCCCAGGCCCCAGCTTGGGGGCCAGGCACAGATGGTGCTGGGAGCTCAGTCCCCCGGCATGGGCCCACACAGGGGCATGACTCCCCCCAGGCAGGTGGCACCGCAGCAGGGCCAGGTGGTCAGTGGCCAGGTAATCCTGCTGCAGCAGAATGCGAATGCCATGATGGAGCAGATCGCATCTGGGCAGATGCAGGGAAACAAGCAAAGCTTCGGGGTGAAGGGGCAGCCGGGGGCCATGCAAGGTCAAATAATGCGCGGCCCAGCACCCAACATGCAGGCCAACCCAGCCATGTTCCAGGGACAGATTGTCCAGCAGCAGCCGCAGTCTCAGCAGGTCCCGTCCAATGGCGGGCCTGCCCAGACCATGGCCCTGCATGGGCCGCAGATGCGACTTCCAGGAGGCCACCATATGGTGCAGCAACAGCAGCAGCAGCTTCATCAGCTACAGCAGCTTCAACAGCTACAGCAGCAAAAACAGCAGCAGCCGCAGCTAATGACGCCGCAGCAGCCGCAGCACGGGGATGCCAGTGGCAGTGCAAGTGACATGCCTCTGCAGCAGATGGTGCCGGAGATGCAGGCCCAAGCGCAGCAACCTCCGCCTCCGCCGCCGCCTCCACAGCAGGCCGGCATAGCTGTGGGCATGCCCCCCGGCAGCGGCCACTTCCCCGCGACTCACGGGCTGCCCTTCAACCCCCAGTTTGCCGGCCAGATGGCGATGGGTGGCCAATGTGGGCAAGCTGGCGGCTTCCCTGGAAACAAAGATGTGACGCTCACCAGCCCCCTGCTGGTCAACCTGCTTCAGAGCGATATCTCTGCCAGTCAATTTGGGCCCGGTGGGAAGCAGGCTGGTGCCGCCCCAGCTAAACCCAAGAAGAAGAAACCCCCGCGTAAGAAGAAGGGCAGTACCGTTGGAGGAGCGGCAGGGCAGTCGGCCGAGGAAGCTCCTGGGTAAGGATGGCCTCAGCGGCCCTGTGGACATGAGCGGGAAGGTTTAGCTTGGGTTTGTCTGCTTCCCTAGACTCATTGGGGTTTGTTTAGATTGTTTAAATTAAGGCAGGTAATCTCCCTGTGAAAGTTAGTGGGAGGTCTGCATCTTCTGAGTTGTTTTTATCTACATTAGGCAAGTGCCCAGAAGAGAGATGGCAACTCTATTGAGCTAAATGTGGAAATACTGAATCTACCGCCTGAATCTCTTCTTTCACTGTCTTGCTCTTGTGTAAAGGGGTATGCCTGAGATTCGGTCCCAGGGGATGGAGGAGCTTGAGGGCCAAAGTGGCGGCACTGAGCAGGGGCCCAATCTGGACCCCGCTGGCCCCAAACACATGGAATTTGGAGGCAGGTCTCAAGGTAACTCATACTTCATATAGATGGATGTTTATTGCATCCTGTTATTCTCAGGCATTTCTTATTAACGTTAACCAGTGCTATCATAATGCTTAATTTATTATCACTTGTAGGATTTCCCGCGCAACCAGGAGACCAAAGGGCAATACAGCAACTTCAGTTCATGCAGCAACAGCAACAGCAACAAATGCAGCAGCAGCAGCAACAAATGCAGAGACCAACCCCAGGCCAGGCAGGGATGATACCACAATCCCAGCAACAGCTACATCTTCACCAGCTTCAGCAGCAGCAGCAACACCACCACCAACAGCAACACCAGCAGCATCTGCAGCAACACCAACAACTACCGCAGCAGCAAATGCAACCACACCAACACCATCAACAACAGCCACCACAAAATCAGTTACAACAGCAACAACAGAACCAGCTGCAGCAGCAAAATCAGCTCCAACAACAGCAGCAGCAGAACCAGTTACAACAACTACAGCAGCAGAACCAGCTGCAGCAGAACCAATTACAACAGCTACAGCAGCAGAACCAACTACAGCAGCTACAGCAGCAGAACCAGCTGCAACAACAGAACCAACTACTACAGCAACAACAGCAGAACCAACTACAACAGCTACAACAGCAGCAGAACCAGATGCAACAGCAGCAACAAAACCCGATGCAACAGCTACAGCAACAACAGAATCAGCTGCAACAGAACCAGATGCAACAATTACAGCAGCAGAACCAACTGCAACAGCAACAGAACCAACTACAGCAACTACAGCAGCAGAACCAGCTGCAACAGCAACAGAACCAGCTACAGCAGTTACAGCAGCAACAGCAGAACCAGCTACAGCAGCAACAGCAGAACCAGCTACAGCAGCAACAGCAGAACCAGCTACAGCAGCAACAGAACCAACTGCAACAGTTACAGCAACAGAATCAGCTGCAACAATTACAGCAGCAACAACAGAATCAGCTGCAACAACAGCAGCAAATGCAGCAGCAGCAGCATCACTCACAACAACAACAGCAGCAGCAGCTGCAGCAGCAACACCAGCTACATCAACAGCAGCACCACCACCAACAGCAGCCGCAACAGCAACAGCAGCAACAGATGATGATGATGCTCATGATGCAGCAGGAACAGGCTAAGATGAGGATGGCACATCCGCAGCAAGGAAGCCACACGCCCAGGGCTGTGCTTAATCCAGCTGAAGTGCAAAGGCCGCCCGTATCACAGCAGGGCAACATGCCTGCCATGATTAACCTGCAGGGCCATGCTGGAATCCCGCCATCCCCAGACAAGCCGCGGGCTGTCCCCATCATGATAAACCCCCAACTGGCCGGACCTGCAAGGAGGATGCCAGTGCCTGTGACTGAAGTTGGGCAAGGTGGCTTGCCACCAACCTCTGAGGAAATTCCTACAATACCTGCCACCCAGAATCCATCAGCCCATGAGTCTGTGCCACCGGCAAACATTGGGCAGGGTCCGATACTGAAGTCTGGACCGTCGCCTGTTCCACAGCACCAAGGCTCAGTTCCACAGCAGCAGCAGCAGCAGCAGCAGCCCCAACAGACGGGCTCCATGCCAGGCTCACATGGCCTCCATTTCCCCAGTGCCCCTACTGCTACAACCCAGAGTTCCAGGCCCAAGACTCCAAACCGAGCTAGCCCTAGGCCCTACCACCACTCACTCACATCCTCAAATCGCCCTCCCAGCACAGAGCCCTCTGAGATTAACCTTTCACCAGAGCGGCTCAATGCTTCCATTGCTGGTCTTTTCCCTCCACAAATTAACATCCCGCTGCCTCCCAGACAGCCTAATATGACTCGTGTGTTTGATCAACAAGGCCTCAATCCCACTACCCTGAAAGCCATTGGACAGGCCCCTCCAAGCCTGACCTCGCCTTCTCCCACTAACAATGGCAACAATCAGCAGTCGTTCCTGGCCGGGAGTGCCACAGCTACACCTGGAAAGGCAGAAAGGCTGCCACCTACTGGTCCAGCAAAGAGAGCCAGTCCAAGCAACAGTCGCCGATCCAGCCCGGCTTCGAGCCGGAAGACGACCCCCAGCCCTGTGAGGCAGAGGGGAGCTAAAATCACCCCGGGCTGCCCCCCACATTCTCAGGCTGCCATCACTGTCCAGAGCGTAGGCCCTGCCCCCCATTCGGTGCTGCACAGCCCCATAGCGATGGCCCCAGCAGCTCTGGAGCCACAGAGCTCCTTCCACAATGTCCATGCCAAGCTTACAGATGTGAGCAAGGACATCCCAGTAACCTCCGCAGAGCAACAGCGAGCGGGAGCTCCACTTCAGAAAGAGCCATCTGCTTTGGCAGCCAGGAGCCCCGCTGTAGTGGCGGAGCAGAGGGGAATCGCTACCGAGGAGATGGCCAGACAAGATGTCCCTATGGCTAACCGGACGCAGCCACATGTAGGTGTGCAGCAGGAGTTGAAGCCAAGCCCATCCCCTGCACTCCGGGAGGCTCCGACCTCACTGAGCCAGTTGCTGGACAACTCAGGAGTGCTCAACGTGTCCCAGGATACCAAGCAGGAGGGCCTATTGGAAGGCGGCCAGGGGTGGAAAGAAGCAGGGGCTCCCTCTGTAGATAAGGAGATTCAGAACCCGCCCAGTGGCCCTCAGGCCCACGACACCAGTGGTCCAACTGTCACATCTGAAGGAGAGTCCAAACCCAACCCCTTCCCTGCTCCTTCTCCCATTCCCAGGCTCAACACCACTGTCAGTCCCAGTCCAAATCCAAGTCCCTGTACTGGTTCTAACCCAGACCCCATGCCGAACGTGTCTCTGGTGTTGCAGAAGCCACAGTCCTCTTTATCGACGGCATCATCATCGTCTGGTCCCACAAATATCACTGTCTACGTGACATCCAATGCCGTTAGCTCCCCTGCCAGCACAATGCCTCATGTCAGCCCGGCCCTCGTTTCCACCGTGGTCACCATGCCCAACAAGAACATTAAGCCTCTGGAAGCTCGTCTGACGACCACTGCTGCCATGGCCAATCCCCGTCCTGCATCCTTCATCACGACACCCATGTTAATCAACCCCGTTTTTCAAGTCCCTGCTTCTACTGGGGCTTCGACCACCAGCATCCGGCCTCAAGCTGTCACCATGGTGGGATCGATTCAGATGCCAGCCAGCATACAGCTCTCGCCGTCCCCTAATGTCAGGGCCGTGACCCTGCCGTCCTCTGCCGGGATAGCCAGTGGCCAGCCTGGTCGCCCAGCACCACCACAGATCCAGATGCCTTCTGGCCAAGCCACCAAACCCCCCCAGTCAACACGGCATCCACCCAGCACCCCAAAACAGGAAGGCAGCGCCCCTACTGAGATGTCTGGGGGGCAGCCTTCTCCGCGACCCGGTGCTGCCACCCTGTCCCCCTTCACTCAGCCCCTGGCGTCACCACCTCCTTGCTCGAGCCCGGCAGTTTCTCCGGTTTCTGCCACTACCTTTCGGAGGACCCCACTGTCACCACCACCGACTGTGTCCACGACCAAATCCAGCCAGTCACCCACAACCAAGGCTGGTGCGGCTTCCGCAGACGTCACTCAGAAAGCCGAGCCCCACAAGACTCTGGGCCCCAAAAGGGCCCCTGCGGCCCCTGGCTCCGTGCCTTCCCCAGCTCCCCCTGTAGCCAACACCGCCGGGGAAGCACACCAACCGGCCGCTAAACAGCCGAGCCCAGCCGCTCCTCTCCCCTCCCCCGTCCCTGCCCAGGCCTCTCCCTCTACTCCTTGTACTCCTGCTGCTGCACCTCCAGCTCCGACTCCCCCAACTCTGTCGGGTGGTGCTCCGGCCCCAGCCGTCACTCCCCCTGAGCTCCAGACTCCCCTTGTGGTGATGGAAGCTGGCCAGCCAGCCTCGGCTGCACAGGCGCCGGAAGCCACCCGCAACCCAGGAGAGCAGCCTGGGAGCCAAGGTAACGTGCCTGGCTGCAGAAGGGGAGTGGAGGGGGCGGGGGGAATGACAGTTCATGCCAATGCTATTTTATGCCCTCGCAGCCATTTTTGTGTAGCCTGTAAGGTACCTCATGCCTAATGGCCGTTTCTGTGTAGCCTGTAAGGTACCTTATACCTAGCGGTCCTTTCTGTGCAGCCCGTAAGATACCTCATGCCTATTGGCCGTTTCTGCGCAGCCTGTAAGGTACCTCATGCCCTCGCAGCCATTTCTACACAGTCCCTAGGGTACCTCATACTCCCAAGGCCGTTGCTGCGCAGCCTGTAAGGTACCTCATACTCCCAAGGCCGTTGCTGCGCAGCCCGTGAGGTACCTCATACTCCCAAGGCCGTTGCTGCGCAGCCCGTGAGGTACCTCATGCCGTTGTGGCTGTTTCTGTGCAGCCCCAGCATACATCATGCAGTGCCAGGTCAGCGTCACCACATTGGACCTGCAGCCTGATGACAGAGGTGACACATAATTACCCTGCATTTGCTACACAGGATTATTCCATTAGCTGCATCTCTCTAATAATATTATCCGAGTCACTGCAAGAAATTTAGGAAATTAAGAATGCAGAGGCAGTTAAAGACTGTAATTACCTTAATCTGAATGGCTATGGTCGCCATTTCCAGTTTCTGTGTCCTTGTGGATCTCATACACTGCTCCATTCTCCCGATTCCTCATCACATGCTCTCAATGTCCATGTTCATGCTTCACAGTACCGGCTCAACTGGACACACCTGTGACAGAGCAGCCTCCCATCGGTGCTGCAGGTATGTCATGCTGAAAGGCCCAGTTATATTCACATGTCATTGTAATAACTGTAATGCTAATAGCGGTGTGGTGGGTTCTTGCTAATGGAAGCAGTGAGCACTGTATAATGCAGCCATTTATTTTATCTTTCTCTCCCTCCCCAAACAGGAGATGAGACGGCGTCAGTGACTGAACAGGGGTGAGACTTCCAGACATAGATTAGTGGTTAGGGGAAATGAAACTCTGGTGTGTGTGTGTGTGTCTGTGGCATTGTGGGGATCAAACGTTCCTGCAATGTGATGAAAACTGGTGATTCTGATGTAGCGGGACATTTTTTGGTCCCCACAAAGGGAAAATCAATTTTATAAAAATCTGTGACTGCAATCAAAAACCTAAAAGTGCCAAAAATCTTGTATTTTGTTATGTTATTTATGGTTAAGGTTACGGCTGGGTAGGGGTTTAGGTTGTCATGTTAAAGGGGATTAAAGTTTTCCCCATAGAAATGAATGGAGAGTCCCCATAAAGATATGCATGAATACAAACACATGTGTGTGCATGTGAGCCCTGTGATGGTCTAGCATCCCATCCAGGGTGTCTCCCGCTTTGTGTCATGTGCTGACTGGGGTATACCGTATTTTCCGCACTATAAGGCGCACTAAAAAGCCTTTGATTTTCTTAAAAAATAACAGTGATTCTTTAAATCCAGTGCGCTTTAAACGTGGATTAATTTCTGTTGTGCATACTGAACTCGAAGCGATTTGAATGTTTTAGTATTGAAAAGTGAGTGTATTGTGTAGTGCTTCACGTGTTATAAATTAACAATTTCAAGAGTTATTATGAATACGCTGACTTTTGATTTAGCGGTATAGGACCATATTATAAGTGTTCAATTTTGAGTTATTGTTAATAGGCTGACTTTTGATTTAGCGGTATAAGACTCTTGTTTTTTTACGTGTTAAAGAGTAGTGAAGACGCTCGTAAACGTTTGAACAATGTTGACAGTAATTGTGAACACGTGATGTAAAATAAATTTTCGTTGACTGGCTTATCTGACTGTTTTGCTTAAAGCGCCTTAAAGTCCGGTGCGCCTTGTATGTGGAAAAAGTTTGAAAATAGACCACTGATTGACGGTGCGCCTTATAATGCAGTGCGCGTTATAGTGCGGGAAATACGGTAGATTTATTATTATTTTTTCAATTATTTCAGGTGAATAACTGGGTCAGCAGTTTACATTTAAAAAAAAAACTGAATTCTATGTGTAGCACATAATGAAATAGGACACTGGTCATGCTGTGGATAGTCTGACAATGTTTATAAGTGTTGATTCACCGTCGATTTTTCACTTCCACAGTGTGAAGAAGAGAGAGACGCCCTCCAGCTTTGTGCCAAGGTACTACAGCACGTGTTTTCATTTTTGGGAAGCCAGTGGAAGTGATCTGCTATATTCTCGGGAGGAAACTAACTGGTAACATGGCTTAGCAACAGATAAGGGGGAAGATGTTTATAGAAGACGGAACAGATAGGATCATTCCAGACTGAGACAGGCGGGCACCGGTTACCCAGAATGCCCACTGTTATTAACCGGCCGACCCCTGACCCCTTTTAGGGATCCGAAGGCTGGCCCAGAGAAGCAGAAGGGACCCGGTCGGCGGAGCTCACGAGTGGAGAAGGAGCTGGAGGAGGGGCCCGCGGCCTCGCAGGAGGTCCCCGAGAACGGGCAGAGGAAGCGGGCAGCCAGGCCGGGCTCCGCCTCCAGCGCGGCCGCTGCTAAAGGTACGAGGCGCCAAGGGTCCAAGATGGTGGATGGGTAGATACCCGCTGGGTACTTCCCTGGGGAGAGCCTGTGCTGGACTGGGTGGGCAGGGCATATGCAAAGCTCTTACGGAGGGAGGGTCTTTGGGTTTCTGTAGCAGTTTGCCATTTAATTTACATTTGTATTTATTTAGATGCTTTTATTCAAACTGACATACATTTTTGAGAAAGCAAGGTCAGCCAGTCCCTGGAGCAATTGAGGGTGAAGGGCTTTCCTCAGGCGCCCAGTGATGACATCACTTTACTGATCCTGGGATTTGAAGCAACAACCTTTTGCCCACAGAAACCACACTAGGCTGGATTCTTCACTGTGGCTCTCTCCATCATTACTGTCCCTAATCTGATGCCCGTGTCCCCGCTGTCCGTTTCTCACAGATGCCAGTGCTGCCGCAGGTCCGGTGCAGGCCAAACGGCGGAAGTCAAAATGAACCTCTCTCACCACCCCCCCCCAAGCCCCCCCGGTGCTGGTGACCTGTAGCATGCAGCTGTCCTTGAATCTCTCGACTGCCACCCACCCCCTGGCCTGCTTCTTTTAAAGATGAAGGAACCTTGTACAGATATTTGTTTTAATAACAGTTAATATTGATGTTGTGTCTCTGTGGCAATGTGTTTTTAAATTAGAATGGTTAAAGTTGTACCTTTTATCTGTGTAGGCTATTTTCCACTCCAGGTGCTGGAATAATGATGTGTTTAGTGTCCTAATCATGAAAATACTACAGTTCCTGTATTTTGTTGCAAAATTAAATAAATTTTTTACCACCTCTCTGGCTTTGCCGTCACCATGGACTTTGATCTCGCCAAATGCGACTAATCCGCTGGATCAGAGTTTGACTTTGGTTCGAAGTGAGCGGTGTGGTGATTTGCACTGTAATGAAACGTAAATTACGACTTGCATTGTTGTCCAAATTTTTCAGGATCATAATCCTGAAAAGGAGTATGATCAGAAGTGAAAGTACGTTAGGGAATGTGAGTGCATGTGTTAGTATATATTTCTCTAACATACTTGCCTTCTTCCGGTTTTTGATTAAATGGCCTTCCAAAATATAAAAAATTACGCACAAACTAAACTGCAGGAAATACCGCTGGAAGTCTTGCATACTATAGATATCCTGTAGTTCCTTCGGTTATGGAGGAAATTGCATGTAATTATATCTTTCTTGGGCGTGCAAGGGGAATAAACGTTTGTTCAAACATAGTGCAGGTACATAAGAATGTGGTCATTTGAGCGAAGGCGACAGCAGCCCGCGGCACATGATTGGATGAGCGGAGACGGCGGCTGCGGACGCGCCCTCGGCCGGTCCCTGCGGGCTTCCTGGAAGCTTCGGGCGGCTTTTACAGCGCAGCGATGCCTGGCGCCGTGTAGCCGCGTATGTGCTCGTCTAGCCGCGGTAAGTCAGCCCGAATGTTTCATTTTCGCGATGGCTTTGGAAGTTTCATAATTAGTTATTAATCTATCTTATATTTGATATAATCCTGGCAAAAGTCTCAGACAAAAAGAAAAAGCAAATAACATCCCGGCCACTTAAACGTGCTTTTGTTCGATATGAATTTATGAAGTGTTCATATTGTTTACTAAGGGTGGTCTATGCAAAAGTATTTTAATATTTAAAAATAAAGTTATATTCTAAAACAAACACACGGAAACAGGCATTTTCCCTTATATGTTTGCTTTCCCTCTTTTTACTAAAGTTATTTTTTTAATTTATTGAGTGACAAACGTAATTATAAAAAACTGAATACTTATTTATTCAGTATTCTGTATGTTAAGTAATTTACATCGTTGTACATAGAATGCGAAAGAAATGAGAAAGAAATTGTCAGACAAGGGTATAAATTTTATATGAAAGTGTAGTTTTTATTACTTTGATAAAACAGGTGCGTATTTTACTGGTTCAGATATCTCGCTGACTCGCTTTGTGCGACGCCATTGAATTTCTGCTAAACAAGACAAAGGTTAAGAGACTTCGTTAGGAATTAGTGTAAATCCCACATCCGCGCAAAAACAAATGCTTATAATTTTATTGTATTGTTTTATTGTAGTATGTCGAGTATGTAGGTCTGTTTTAAATTTCTCAGTCACAATATAACGAAATGAATATTTGCGTCATTGGCATATGATTTAACTAGTGAACAATTAAACTTTTGTCTCCATTTGGGGATGTAACAGTATCTCACTTTAGACCGAATACTTTCTTGCGAAAGTAATGATTTATGTCAAGGTTATGCTGAGTGTCTCAGCGCGTGCGAGCCTAGGGCGCAGTCTTCTGAGAGGGCGCCGATTTGGTGAAACTGGCCGGTTGAATTTAGCGGGGAGAGGGCTCGCCACATTTGCTTTGACCGGCACTGTCTGCAGGGTTGGAGGTTTGAATCTCGCATCTGCTCCATGTTTGGATTTTGCATGATCTCCCAGGGTAGTTAGGCTAAATGGCGCCTCTGAATTGCCCGTTGAATGTGTATGGGAGTGCTTGTGATTGTGGGCTGCCGAGGTCTATGTATGATGTTTGTATGGAAGTGGTACCGTCCCATGCTGATACCTTGCTGATATGGGCTCTGCTGTCCCACAGGCAGGCGTGGGCACCCATGGATCTGGCAGAGGACTGCAGTGATGGCTACTTCATCATCACTAGGGGGAAGGCACGCAACAGCCTGCGTGGCATCCAGAAGGGCAGTGTGGGGCGCGTGCAGGCCCGCCCAGGGGGGGAGCTGTCTGTGTGGCTCCTTGGGGCCTCCTCGCACGCCTTCCCCAGGGGCGAGGTGCTGGTGCGGCGGGATGACGGCCTCTTCCTGTCCCGCCACCAGGCTCAGCTGCTGCTCTTTGTGACCCCGGCCGCTCGCCGGCTGGAGCTGGTGGCCAATCCGCAGCTCTTCCTGGCCATCTGCAGCCTGGCCTGCAACGACCCGGTGCTGGTGAAGCACGCCAAGGCCCACTGGCCGGGCCTGCTGAGGAAGGTGGTCCAGATCCAGAACAAGAGCAGCCTGGAGGATTTCCCCATGCTGGGCTTTGAGGTGGAACTGCTGGTGAGAAACCTGCCCGTCCTGTCTGATGGTGTTGGGGGGGGGAGGGGGGGGGCATGTGTGGCGGCTTCTCTGTAGGACAGTCTGAGCATTTTTATGTGTGTAAGCTGATGGCGGCTGATACCGTTTATTATGTGGTTTAGTGTTAGAGGAGCAGAGCTTGGATGTCACTACCAAGAATGCAAAGATCGCACTTGTGGTTTTGGCAAGACCGGTTTTACTAACTTACCTCCCAAGAACGAACTCGGGGAGCAGTGAATCATGGGACTGGGTATTTTTACCCTTGTCTATACTTCTGTATTGGAACTGGTCTTTGCCAGTGGAAGATGATGTAAAACGGGGACACGAGAACACAAGTACAGTCAAGTAGACATATTGAGAAGCAGCCCTTGGGATACCAGAGCAGGACACTTTACTGACACGGTCTGTGGCTCAGTGGGTTTGGGCTCTGTGCTTGTGGTCTGCAGGTCGTTGCTTCAAATCCCCTGGCTGGCAAAGTGATTTGAACAATGGGCCCTTGAGCAGGGCCATAAAGCCCCAAGTGCTCCTCAGACCGCTTCCTTAATTATATATCACTTTGGATAAATCATTTGCTCAATAAATAAAATGTACATCCATCTTGAATAAGAAGAATTAACTACATAGGCTAATGTACGTACAGGTTTATATGTATGTAATCCCACAAAGCAAGATTACTTTATTTGTCACGTACATAGTAATACAGGTACAGCATGTCGTGAAACGTGTACCTGGTCACTCCGAAGACAGCGCATAAATAGGCATTGGCTTATGAGGCTTTTTATAAATTAGTTGAAGTAATAAGGTAGGAATAATGTTGAAGGCTATGTAATGTAATACGCTCCAAACTGTAAGCTGTGCCTTATCCAGAAGATGAGATTTGGATATAGGTTTTGGGTTTCAAACAGGCACCTCTGAGCATGAGGAAAGCGAGTCACTTTTCGTGTGTCTGTACCACCCATTAATTATCTGGTTTTCCGGGACAAAATTCCAGAAATTCTGGCCTGATTATCCAGCTGCTGCCTTAACTTAGCCATCCAAAGGGAAATTCAGATATTAGCCACTGTGGTGAGTAACTGCTTTCAGCATTGCAGGCTCTAATGAAAAACCACCCATTCACCCGACTGCCACACCACTGCAGGGCTTAGGGTTACATTCACAGCGTTAGGACTCAGTCTGCTTGGTGCACTGTGGCCTGCTTGTCTTCAGCTTTTCTCCCAAATCCTGCCCTCAGGACTCGGACCAGCACTGTCCCGGCCGGAAGTCCGGCCCGCTGCCTTTGTTCAGTGCCGGTGACATCGTTCAGGCCGGCTCGAGCTGCCCGGCTAATGCGCACTGGGCCTGGCCCAACAAGCCCTCAGAAGGTCAGTTGCCAGGGGAGGTGTGGCTGATATGTGGCAAAGGGGATCAGCAACCCTTAACCATACCCCGAATGAACTGGGAAGACTGGTGAGAATTGATCTGTGTTCCTGGTCGGGGGGGAGGGCAGCAGGTTTGTGTCACGATGAAATGGAAGAGGAGATGGGGTGATTATTATTATTTTTTGTTAGTTTTTTTGCTGTCGAACTGGAAAAGCAGGCCAAGGCGATTGGGAATGCGGAAGTGTGCCTGGAAGCACACCTACAGGGTGCGCGCTTTTTTCGGGGGGGGGGGGTGTGTGTGCTAATGGCAGCTCCTGACGGCAGCTCCTGACATCTGTATTGCTTACAGGGCTGGACCTGAAGATCACCTCCTGGTTTGGCTCGCTCCTCAGTTTAGGACCTCCTGAGGGGGGCGGGGATGGCCTTGGACCCCCCGAGGAGCCCCTGCTGGAGGTGGGCTCTATGGTGGAGCTGGTGACCGACAAAGGGGCCCCGGCATATGGGCTGCTGCGGTGGATGGGCACCCTTAAGGGGAAGAAGAAGACCTGGGCAGGCGTGGAGCTGGTGAGGCCCTGCTGGCAGCGCCGTCCTCGGGCCCCATTCTCTCCCTCCTGTCCTCCCCTGGTACCTCTGGTTCATTCATGCTGCCCCAATCCCCCCCAGGACCGCGAGACCACCAACGGCACGGATGGGACGTTCGGATCTCGCCGCTACTTCACATGCCAGAAGAAGCGTGCCGTGTTCGTGCCCCTGGGCTTCTGCCGACCGGACGCCCGCTTCCTGCCGATGCCGGCTCCTCCCCCTCAGCACGGCAAACCAGAGGGTCAGTGCGCCGTTTCAGTCCCGCAGAGGTGGCCATCTTTGTTTATTCATTATAGTTGCTGTTTGCACCGTAAACAGATTATTGTTGCTTAGAAGTGTCTGTCAGTCCCGCTCTGCCGGGCCGGTTTCATTCTGCCCTTTTCAGCCTGAATGAGTCACACAATCTGCTCCGGGACATATAGCCAAGCTCTTCCGTAAACTTTTGGTTTAATTTATTTTTGGCAAGAAATGCTTGTGCCAGGAAGATTTGAACCCGCAGCTAGTAGGTCAGCCTGGCCTTCCTTCCACCCAAGGCAACGTGGCACACTCTCTCGGTCTGTCTGCCTCAGAGTTGCACCTAGGCATCGACACAGATGTTCCTCCCGTCCCAGAGGCAGAGGCTTTGCAGCTGCTAGAGGGCAGGATGAAAGGGATCCAGGGCCACTACAACTCCTGCTATCTGGACGCTGCCCTCTTCAGGTAGGAGGCTGAATCTCTCGGTTGATATGCGGAAGCTTGCTACTCTCATTCAGAGCGTTCTGGTGTCACAGCCTGGCTTCGGACCCCCGGTGGTCTTGGTGGCAGCTGAAAACGTGCTGTTAATTGTGTATCTTATATTTTGTTTTCTTTGCATTTGTCATCAAGAAAATAATTGACAAGTTGAGTAATGAGTATGAGTAAGAATGCGATTAATTATATCAATCTTAAATTTTTAAAGGTGTGAACACAGCCTGGCGTTGCTTCCATTTTTTGACAGCAGCACCTCCCTCACCTACCCGCTGTTTCTCCTCAGCTTGTTCAGCTCCTCCGCGGCCCTGGATGGGGCGTGTCAGGAGGCCGCCAGCACGGGCAGGGAGGCTCCCCGCATCCTCAAGCGGGACATCATCAACAAGCTGCGCAGGTAGGCCCTGCTGCCGTGCTTTCTGCTCGACACGCCCCAAGCTGACATCTCTGCTGTTTCTGCCGCTCTGGGAACCGGCCTGTTAAATATCCGGCTGCATAATCACGAGCGAGGAATGTGTATGTGAGGCACTTGGGAAACCCGCTTATTTACCACGCGACCAAATGGAAATCGACTGGTTTGGTCTGATTTGTTCAGCCAGGGGTTTGTTCCAGCTGAGAGCGTGATGAACTTCCGGAAGCAGCTGGGCTGTGACTCTTTCCTGACGGAGGAGAAAGGTAGCCGCTTTCCTTAGAGCTAACCTCGTTCTTTCTGAATGTGGAACTGACGTCTGGTTTCTGCCCTACCCTTGCAGACCCTGAGGAGTTCGTCAGCGTCCTCCTTGAGCGAGTGCTTGGCATGAAGCCGTTGCTCAGGATCAGGTCTGAAAGCTCTGCTTTCCCGCTGATGTCTTCATGCCTCCCCCTCCCCTTAAACTCCAGCATATAATGATTTCTTTCACCAAGTGAGGGTGTCTGTTGATGTTAAATAGTAATAAATTCCTTTCCCAATTGATCCACTTATTAACTGCATATTTGTTTCACTCCCCATATTACCCTGCCTTTTATCTTGCACTCTTTTCTCTTATTGCGCTGCCGTTTGTCCCGTAGCGCGCTGCCGTTTGTCCTATTGTTTCCCCCATGCACCTGTCCCCTCTCCTCCAACTGTGGCACAAGAATTTCTCAGTTTTCCTTCAAACAAATGTGACTGTAAAACCTGTAACGTGACACTTGAAAAATGATTCTACCTGAATAATGACTTAGGATCTGAAGTAAACATTAAACTGTTCTCTCTGTAAAGTTTCTTAGTTTGTGTGTCCAATTTCTTACCAGATGCGAGCTGCTTCTTGTATGATGATTACTGTTATGATAATTGTTTTATTCTGGTCTGTTTGGGCTTATAGGTCAGAGAATGGTATGACCCAAGATGCCTACACCTTCCAGATCATCCTGGATAAGGACCAAGTGGGAACAGCTCCCACAGTGCAGGAGCTGTTGGATACCTCCTTCGTGTCGTGTGGCCTCCAGCTTGAGGAGGTGGGCAGTAGGGGGTACTCGCAGTCCCCGGATCAGCAGGCACTGGGATGCGACCACTAATCCCTCCAAAATGACTTTTTCTTCCCATCCCAGACCCCTTTGTGCTTCATGGTCCAGATGCCGAGGTTTGGGAAGACGTATAAAATGTTCTCCCAAATCATTCCCTCCACTGAGCTGGATGTCACTGACCTCCTACACAACTGTAAGTTTGAATCCGGATGGGGCAGCTTTTATGCTTCAGAGCCTTTTTAAGGGGATATTCTTAGTTTAACTATGGGGACTCTTGTGTGGGGGAGAGTGCAGTGTGATTTAGAACAAGGGGACTGTGAGTCCTGGGCAGTGAACCCTGCCCCCATCACAGAAACCCACCCCCTGGCCCCATTACTGACTCCCTGCCCCCTTTCACCCCACTCTTCCTTGACTCCCATAACCCCCCCTCCCCATTATCACCGCAGCCCCCCGGGAATGCTTTGTGTGCGGCCGCCTGGCACAGCTGGAGTGTGCCACCTGCCTGAGAGACAGGAAGCTGCAGCCCGGCAGGATCAAGCAGTACTGTTGCCTGTGCAGTGCCCAGGTACTGTAGGGCTGCAGTGCACCGGCCCGTCTCCGTGGTTACGGATCTCATTGCTCTGACCTTCCCTCCCCCAGGTCCATGCTCACCCACTGCGGCAGGACCATACTCTCCGCGCGCTGACTGTGCCGGCAGAAGTGCCCGAGGGCGCCCCCTTGCCGCGGCACCGGCTGCAGCTATACGCCGTGCTGTGCATCCGGACCAGCCACTACGTGGCCTTCGTGAAGCACGGGCCGGGACCCCACTCCTGGCTCTTCTTCGACAGCATGGCCGACCGCTGTGGTGAGACCCTGGGGGGCGGGGCAGGACGGGACGGGGTGGGGGGACACGCCCATGGACTAGCGATGGCGGGGTGTGGAAGGTACTCCCTGCGCTGATAGGGCCTGCTGTCCTCCACCCTGACCATCCAGCTCAATCCTCCTGTCACTTCTCAGGTGATGACAGCAGAGGTTTCAATGTCCCCGAGGTGAGGGGCTGCCCGGAGGTGGGGGACTTCCTGACTCAGCCCGAGGAGACACAGGCGAGGGCAGACCTGGAGCTGGTCAGTGAGCACGTCAGCAGGCTGCTGTGTGACTCCTACATGTGCTTGTATGAGCGGGCGCCCGTGTGACTGTCCTGACGGCACCACCCCGCACCCTCACATGCCTGCCAGGGCCCCAGCGTGTCCCGCATGGCTCACGCGTGTGCTAACGGGCCGTGCTCCAGCCAGTCAACGCGGGATTGACGTGCTGGGACCTTCCAACACATCGCTATGACACTTTTTAGTTTCTATAATTTCTATTAGTCTCTATAGTTTTGTTTAATCCTTAGATTTCCGGATCGATATTGAAAATATCACAAAAATGTTGATTTTGCTTTATAAACCGTTACTGTGGCCTGTGACATATATTGAAATATTTATACAGAATGACAATGGACGCTTTATATTTTTATATGTGAGTGTTATTATTCAGCTGTTGTTTTCTCTTTTTGGATGCATGATTAAGCAGAATGATTTATGTTCGGGGGAATTTGCGTTGGATTCGAATAATTTTATTTCAGAGTAATACAGGTCTAGGTGACTGTCGCACGTTTTGTATTTTGTTTATAGAGCAAATGCATCTATCCAAAGCGACTCATGTTGTTGAGAACGCAGGGGCAGCCAGTCCCTGGAGTAATTGGGATTAAGGGCTTTGTTCAGGGGCCCTTCGGTGACATCACTCCACTGACCGTGGTATTTGAACCAGCAACCTTCAGTAACGTAGGCACAGGTCTAAACGCACTAAGCCATACAGCGCCGCCCACTTGCCGTTATCTCGCTGTTTATACAATCACATTTTGGGACGGCAGGTCCGTAGCTCTGGTCTGTTTTCTCTTGTTTAGGAAAAGCTGAAAATGGCTGTCCTGCTCTCATTTTTATAGTCAGATCACCTGGAAGCATTCAGTATTGATAATTTTTTCCCACATCACCACCTGTTTTTATTAACAAACAACTTAGATCTCTTCCACTAGAGGGCACTGTGCGCATCTAAATTGTTAATGTACATCATGCTGTTTACTCAGCCTGTGATTTAGGGTTGAAGAATTTTGTCTGTAAACAGACATTTTTTCTGAAAGACATGAAATAGATCTGTTGGCATGTAACCTTGCTTTAGAGTCCACTTGTCACCTTTGCATAGTTTATGCTAGGCTTGCTTAAGCTGTATGTTCTACCATTGTCCTCACCATCTAGGTTTTTGATCTATGTGGTTTTTGCTAACATGATTTATGATCTTTTAGGGGATTTAAGACATGAGCCTTTTTTTTTTACTGATAGCCTTAGAGATCCACTTGATCCAGCTGTAGCCTGATCCCTGGACTTTACTTCCTCTTTATTCCTGTGGTGAGCAGTGGGGCTGATCGGTGGCTTTCACACGCGTCTCCCTGGAAGATGTCTGGTGTTCTGGTAGATGGAGGCAATGACAGCTGCTGATTGCCTTCTCATGTATCTACTTTGTCAGCCAAAACGTGGACTGACTGTGGGTCCTCAAGGACCAGATTCGGAAACGCTTTTAAGGAATGCAGTAGATTTAATGCTTGGCCTGTAATGACCCAAAGGTTTTTGTGCACACGGCCCCTTTGGTGTGTTCATACCTGGACATCGTGGTCAGCGACGCACATATTTCAGGGAGGACCTGTTCAGCTACTTGTGGCTATGACAAGAAAGCTAAATATTTGCAGGGAAGATGTGCTCATTGCTATAGGAGAACAAGTGTAATTTGCTCTGGATGAAAGTATTAGGTAAAATTACAAGTATGTACATGTGGCAGAGTCCTTCCACTGGTGTAGTACATGTTCAGAAACACAGATTCCTTCAGCATTGTCCAGCTCATACAGATCACGCTTGCTACTTTGCCTGTGACTCACTGGTAAAGTGTCAGACTCCTTACTGAGTCTCTGCTCTGTATCCATTCTGATGTTTTTCTTTGTTCTCTCTCTAAAATACAAGAAACATCACATGCTATTGATCTTCTATGCTATACACACAAACCACCTCAGTTTTACCGATTTTATATGCATAAAAAAATAAAGACTTTCCTTCCTTATTGAACACCTTTGAACTTTGGTGCTGGTGAAAACTAAAGAATGCAGTGGACCACAAGGAAAGCTAATTGATTCTTGAACACATCAAATCAGAACTTTCACTTGAAGCAGAAATAACCAGACTAAAATTATTTTGCTGCCTTGTGCCTTGGCAACAGGCTTTGGCCCCCCTGTGAAACCCTGAATGACAAGTGGGTATGGAAAATGAAAGAAAAATATTTTGGACAGTGTGAAAAGACCCCAGAGCATTGGAGAAGATCATAATACCTGTAGAAGGAAGAGGATGACAGCGTCCGTGTGACTGACAGGGCAAAGCAGCCCCTCTGGGTCATCACCAGGAACCAGAGGGCCTCCAGGCCACTGGAGTTGGACCACAGATCCTCAGAAATGGGAGATCCACTTCTTGTAGGAATCCACCGGGGAATTCTGCTTGTTAATGTATATTTGCTTTCATTCAGCCTCACCACTTACAGTATAAGACTGGTTTTGCTCAATGCTTGGCCTGTAATGACCCAAAGGTTTTTTTGCACACTGCCCCTTTGGTGTGTTCATACCCCTCACACTGTGCAGCCCTTAGGGCTCGCTGACCTTGGCCAGGTGATTGGTCTGCAGATCATTCAATCAATTATCTTTGGCCTTGGAAAATAGTTTTATTTTTAAGCCACCTATGTATACTCTTCGCAAAGTGCTCTGACACCCTGCGAGTGTAACCCTCACAAGCTCTGCAGAGCAGGAGCAGCGATTCTCAACCATGGGTCACAACCCAAATTTGGGTGGTGGCAAGTTCTAAAAGGAGTCAGAAATGTAAGCATTTTAAAACCAGCAAGCTCTTATGCTGATCCACAATCAGATTCCCCAACCCCAGTTCTAGAATTAACCTATATAAATGGGTCTTGGGTCTGGAAAATGCTTCGCGCAAAATTAGTGAACACAACCAATCCATGAAGCCAAACCACAGATGCTTAATTTAAAATTGACTGGTTTATCCAGTGACATTTACACGATAGGCATTGATTGGCACTGTGTGCTTTTTCATAGCGTTAATTTAAAGCTATACTAGATATAGGGCCGCGACTGAGCCGACATGGTAACATTTGGGTCGTGGTGCGAAAAAAGGTTGAGAACCACTGGCGTGGAGCACCACCTCATCTTAGCTATGATGAACGAAGAAGTTCTAGGTGAAAACTCACAAAAGTCTGAAGTGACAGCATTTCTGCTGAGCTACCCATTGTTGGGCTATGAAGATGGCACCTGTGACAGCGATTTGCATGTGTCTTCACAGTACACGGTTCGCTGGGACTCCAGCTTCCTCAAACGAAAGGCTGTGACTTTGCCCTTTCTGTCATTGTAAGGCTCCCTGGGGATGGCAGTGGTCACACACACAAGCGAGAGAGAGGCATTATGAAACATCTTACCACCTTGTACAACTAATATCCCATTCATTTCAGAAAGATACACACTACAGATCATACGTTCATCTTCTGAAACGGTAAAAATCACCAGCTACGCTGCTCCCTGGCTAATTTAGTCAGGACAGACAGGCAATCGTGCAGGTGTTGAAACGCAGCAGAAGTTTGCTCACACTTCACCTGCTAGGCACGTTGTCTGTCCGGCGCAATAGGCCGTGGGCTGTCAGCAGTGTCCATCCAGCTGTCCCACTGAGATACATTTTGGAGGAGCTGAGGTATAATACTGAATGTGCTGTTTCCAAAGACAGGTAGTTCTGTCACGTAATAGTACAGAAAATTCTGGTCTTCATGACTGTAATTATAAGCTATTTAATTCCCATGATACACTATTTATATGGCATCTGAAATTATGGAAGACTGAACTGATGGCATCCAAGGAAGCGTTTCCCCCATCTGCTACCTCACGCTTCCTGGGATAGAGCCTTGGCTCACTTCTGCCCTCTACTGGATAAGAGGATACCGAAGATGGATGAAAGAAGAATGGATGGTGCGTGGCTCTTTTTGTTGGGATCGAGTGTAGATACAAGGTGCGTAGGAAACAGTTTGATATTCGGGGCAGGACGCAATTTAATTCTAATACAAAGGTCCGCTTATTGGGGGAGGGGGTTAAAGAAGCCCCCCAGTTCCTACGCCCCTGCACAGAACCTCCCACTGCTCCAATCATTATGACACCTATGGGACCCAACCCCGTCGTCAGAGAGTCAAACCCAGCACGACCGGTACGTACAGCAAGAGGACGCGTGTAGACAACAACCACTAACAATTTATAAATTGTACCATGACCAGCCAATGTACATGTGAGATAAAGTTAAAATGAAAAAATAAATGAATCTAGTATATACGAAATTAATATAACTGCACAATATAATTAACTGACGCATTTACTGTCAGTGCCTGTAGCTTATTGGACAAGCAGCTGGAAGCAAATGGTATGACAGTGACGTATGTTTTTCTTTTAGTGCCATAACAGGATACGCAATCGGATATTTCTCAATAAATATATAGGACAAATATCAAACTGTAAATGATGTTTTGTTTTATTTAACACAGCAGTTAGAAACCTACGGAGCCCGGGAGGGGACATGGGAGAAAAAAAGAAGAAACCTGTAACAATCAAATGTTTAAAATTCCAGGTAAAGGGTGTGCGAGTCAGGGCCGATGTTCTTCGACCTCACGTGGCTGCAAGCAGTAAGTACCCAACTGTCGCTGGGGGGCGCCGGCTTGCTCCTTTTTAAAGAGCGCGCACATGCGCAGTATCCAAAAAGCGGGACTGGGTCTCCTGCTGTCCCGACGCTTCCTGGTCCGTTCGATCTGCCGGTAGAATCGGCTCGGCTGAGCTGTGTTCCGGTCCACGCTTCACTTTTAACGGATAAGCAGCCTGTGAAATGAGCGGTGATCACCTGCACAGCGATGCCCGGGTAAATGGCCCGGCATTCCGGCCGGCGTTTCGGAGCCCGGCGTGGCTTTTAAAAGTAACGTGTACAGTGTATGGAGACGGTTCGGATAGGTACCGCCTGCAGTTCCGCTCACTCCACGCGAATCGGTGACGGCACCACTCGCTTGCCTGCGGTTCCGTAGCAGAGATACGTGTAAAAATGCCTTTCTGTGTGTTACTGGGAAGCCGGGGGAAAAGTTCACTGCTCCAGGTAACGGGGTTCTGGGCTCTGTTCGGGTCCGACCCGCTAACCTCCGCCGTCTTTTATGTCTTCCAGGTGGAGTCCGGATCCTGGGCGAACGCTGGTGAGTGTGGCGAGTCTCCGGCCGCCGGTCTCGATGCCGGCCACATATATGGCGTCCCGAAGTCTAAGTCCCGTCTCGGCGGCCGCTATTGTTCGGATCGCGAACCTTTTAATCCGACCCGGGTCGCCTGTAGCTTCTCCTCGCGTATGGGTACCAGTTGGACCGCAAGCGTTTTCTCCCGGCGCGGCCTTCGACGGCCGCCGATCGGAGCCCCGGCCCGTATGTCGTTGCTCAAAGTCGCCTTTTGGGCGTCGGGACTTAGTCTCTGCGCCATTTTCTGCCGGCTTTGCTTCGCCGGCTCCGGTTCCAAGTGGTGATAAAATTTAATAATAAGAGTTGAAGTGTCTAAGGGGCTTAAAGAGATTCGGCCGTGTCTCTTCGAGCCCCTTAGACACTTTATTAAGGTTGTTGTTTTAAATTAATCACTAATAACATCTTCCGTTTGCCGTGAACGCCGCGTCCTTGTGTGGCTGGGAGCGGCGTAGTTAGACACGTTGCCATTTATTTCAGTTTTATGGGGTTTTAAAAATGGCCGAGCTGTATGGCTCGAAGTTGAGCCGATCGGGTACTGATGGACCGATGCGGAGCCAATTACCCACTTCTTGACCTCACACTCTCTCCGTAGACTCCCACAGACTGAAACAGAAAGACAAGGAGCGCAGGCACAAGGACCACAAGAAAGACAAGGAGCGGCTGAAGTCCAAGCACGCCAACAGGTACTGTCTGAACAACGTCTTCTTTTCGTTTTTCTTTGATCTGCCTTTTTCTGCCCCCAGGAGCTCCGGGCTATTGGGACCATGTTATGTGGGGCTGTATAATGCAGCGCCCTGTCTGGAACTGGGAGGGATTTGATGTTGCTTCAGTGTTTAGTGCTCACCCCCTTTTTTATGCACTTGAGCCCAGACTGGGCCACATCTGCCAGTGTGTGAATGCAGTGGCTAGCATCTTTGAGTGTTGTCACACACCTATATACACACACACACACACTCTTACCTAGTGTTGCTGTGTCATCCTGGCCTGCGTGAGCGTGTACACGCTCCTGGACCTGCGTGTGTGGGGGGGGGGGGGGGTGGTGGCCCTGCTCTCAGGCCCATAGAACTTCCCTCTGGTGCCTCGATTTGGCTCCTTCCACAGCTAAAACCTGGCCTTTGCCTTCCAGTGAGCACAGGGAAGCGTCTGACAAGAAACACAGAGATAAAGACAGAGTAAAACACAAGGACAAAGAGAGGAGGAAGGAGGAGAAGGTGAGCTCCGTGGAGGAGGCACGCCTTGGGAGTTACCCTGGAGCGCGTGCTAATTAAAGTCTGGGTATGGGGGGCGGGGTGCCCGGAGTTATCCACCACGCTGGGGTGTGTCTGAGGCTTGGGGCCCTGAGTGTGGCCTCTGCTCACGTCGCTGTCGCTGTGCCCCTGTCTCTGCAGCTGAAGGCGTCTGACCTTGATGTGAAGCCCCAGAAGAACGGTTTTGCCAGGTGGGTGTTTGGCGTGGGTCTGACGTGCGGCCTGTTTGAGATGAGCCGTATCCGTGTGCTGTCTCCAGCGGTCTTTGTGGCTGGGGCCCCCCCCCCCCCCCCCCCC